TGGCCACTAGAAGACCCAGTAGCTTCGCCTTTCCGATTCCTCTTGGAACCCGCTCCACTTGCAACATTTTTGTCTTTTGGTGCCATTACTACCTAGTAAGAAGAAAGAATGGAGAAAAGGAAAAAATTAGAAATAAAGGGGGGATCGTGTGGCAGTTAAGAGGTGAATGAAGAAGAAGGAGAAAAGTGTAGAGAGAGAGTTAAGAGAAAGAGTTGGAAGGTGGTGAGTATTTATAGAGAGAGTGGAAGAGGAAGAGTTGGTTTCGGGAAAGTGAAAGGCTTAGTGGTTGAATTGATGGGTGAACTTTGGGACTAATGGTGGAATGTGGAAATTTATGAAAGAATTATAAAGGAAGAAGAAGAAGAAGAGTTGGAGAGAATATGCGGTGTGGGTCGGTGTATTGTGAAGAGAGTGGGGGAAAGAAGGTGATTTTAGGGATTTAAGAGGGTGGGTATGGGTTAGAACCGGGTCGAACCCGAATTGGGTCAACCTATCAGGAAACTGCACACAAGCGCGATGGAGGAGCGATGCGCCAGTGTTGTGCCACTGGAGGCGCTCTGATGGTCAAGACCTGGTGCGGTGCGCCACACAATGCGGCATGGTCTCCGCTCTGAAGTTTCCCTCCTAGCGCGACACGCCACTCAAAGCGCCAGGAGTTGTGCTCTGAAGTTTTAGGCCAGGCGCGGCACACCTGTGCACCTGGCTTCAGTTATATATATATTTATTTTTTTCATTTTCCCTATTACAAACTAAGTTACAAATAATGAAACATCCTATCTAGCTAAAACTAATAAATAAAAATACTTCCTAGATTCTAAGAATTGGAACTACCCTAAAGAAAAACATCAAAATCCAAAAATGAACTACCTATCTATTACATATTGTTCACAGGTTGCCTCATGTATATCACTTGATTTAACGTCGCAACACGACTCAACTTGGATCATTCATCATTTAGCTCAAGAGCCTCCAGATCACGATCCGCATCTTCCCCAAAATAATGCTTAACTCTTTGCCCGTTCACCAAGAACGTTGGGGTTTGTGCACCTTTAAGTTCCACGGTACCATGTTGTGTCATCCTTACCACTTCGAAGGGACCACTCCTTGTACATCTCAGTTTTCCAGGGAATAACCTTATTCTAGAGTTAAAGAGTAGTACATTTTCTATCGGAGTGAAAGTACGATGAACTATGTTTTGTCATGCCACTGTTTTGTCTTTTCATTATAGAGCTTGGTATTCTCATACTCATGGAGCCTGATCTCCTCAAGTTCATGTAGTTGATTCACTCTCTTCCTACTGGCTAGCTCGGGGTCCAAATTCAACCTCTTAATCGCTCAATAAGCTTGGTGTTCTAATTCCGCCAAAAGATGGCATGCTTTACCAAACACTATGTGATAGGGAGAAGTCCCTATGGGTGTCTTATAAGCAGTCCTATACGCCCACAACACATCATCTAACTTCTCAGACCAATCCTTCCTCTGTGCATTCACTATTTTCTGCAAAATTTGCTTCACCTCTCTATTTGAAACTTCCACTTGGCCACTCGTTTGAGGATGGTAAGTTGTAGCAACCTTATGACAAATACCATACTTAGCTAGAAGAGTTTTCACTAGATGGTTAATGAAATGCTTACCTCCATCACTTATGATTGCCCTTGGAGTGCCAAAGCGAGTGAAGATGTGCTTATTGATGAACTTAATCACCACCCTTGCATCATTCGAAGGAAGAGCGACAGCCTCAACCCATTTACTCACATAATCCACAGCCACAAGAATGTATTGGTTTCCACTATATGGCAGGAAGGGACCCATGAAGTCAATACCCCACACATAAAAAATTTCCAGCTCCAAAATGTTACTTAGTGGAATCTCATGTCTTCTTGAAATAGTACCCAACCTTTGGCATTTATCACAACCCTTCACAAAAGCAATATAATATTTAAATAACGAGGGCCAAAAGAAACCAGATTGTAGTACCTTGTACGCTGTGCTCTCTCCTCCATGGTGTCCTCCATATGGGCTAGCATGACAACTTTCAAGCACTTTTTGAAACTCATATTCTGGAATGCATCTTCTCACCACCCAATCCACACCTTGCTTGAACAAGAACGGTTCATCCCAGATATAGAACTTAGCGTCATGATTGAGCTTTTTCTTTTGTTAGGTGGTCGCACCCAGAGGGTAATCTCCACTTACGATCAGATTCACAATGTCCGCATACCAAGGCACTTCAGAGATATCTTGTGCCATAAAATGTTCATCTGGAAACTCTTCCCGGATTTGTTCACCTTCATTCACATGGGAAAAAAATCCTCCAACCTAGAGAAGTGATCAGCTATTTGATTTTCAGTACCTTTTTTGTCCTTAATCTCAAGGTCAAATTCTTGGAGAAGCAATATACACCAAATCAGCCTTGGTTTAGCATCCTTCTTGTTGAATAGATACCTAGTAGCTGCATAGTCAGTAAAAAAAATCACCTTAGTACCTACTAAATATGATCTGAACTTGTCGAAGAACACTAGAGCTAGCATCTCCTTCTCAGTCACTGTGTAATTAGTTTGTGGAGAGTCCATGGTCTTGCTTGCATAATAGATCGAGTGGAACACCTTATATTTTATTTATCCCAACACTGCACCCACTGTTACGTCGATTGCATCACACATGAGTTCAAATGGTACTTCCCAATTAGGAGCGATTAAGATGGGAGCCTCAATTAAGTTCCTCTTCAACATCTCAAAACTTTCAAGAACATCTCATCAAAATCAAATTTCACCTCCTTCTCCAAAAGACTGCACATAGGTCTTGCAATCTTGGAGAAATCCTTGATGAATCTCTGGTAAAAACCTACATGACCAAGGAAACTTAGCACCCTTTTACAGAAATGGGAGGGGGCAATTTTTCAATAACCTCTACCTTGGCTTTATCAACCTCTAAACCCGACATACACACCTTATGTCCCAACAATATCCCCTCTCTAATAAAAAAATGACACTTTTCCCAGTTTAGCACTAAGTTAGTGTCCTCAAACCTAGAAGGTACCTTATCAAGATTCTGGAGACATACGTCAAAAGACTTTCCGAAGACGGAGAAATCATCCATGAACACCTCTACAAAGTCTTCCACCATATCATGAAAAATGGCCATCATACACCTTTGAAAAGTCATCGGTACATTACAAAGTCTGAATGGCATGCGTTTGAAAGCATAGGTACCATAAGGACAAGTGAACATGGTATTTTCATGATCCTCGGGTGCAATCTCTGGTTGTATCCGGAATACCCATCTAAGAAACAATAGTACTCCTGCTCTGCTAGTCGGTCAAGCATCTGATCAATGAAGGTAACCGGGTAGTGATCTTTCTGGGTGGCATCATTTAGTTTCTGATAATCCATACAAATTCTCCATTCGATCACTGTTCTAGTAGGAATCAACTCATTTTTTTTGTTCCTTACCACTTTCGTACCTCCCTTCTTAGGAATAGACTGCACAGGACTTACCCACTTACTATCAGAGATCGTGTACACAATTGCAGCATCTAGCCACTTTATTACCTCCTTTCTCACCACTTCATTCATCAAAGGATTTAGCCTACGTTGATGTTTTGCACTTGGTATGTGATCATCTTCCATCTAGATTAAGTGCATACATAATGCCAGACTAATCCCATGAATATCAGCCATTTACCATCAAATCGCTTTCTTTCTCCGCTTGAGGACCCTCAGTGTCGCATCAACTTGTATTTCAGATAACTCTGCAAAAAGTGTAATAGGCAAAGTTTTGTTAGTACCCAAATAAGCATACCTTAGGTGAGCAGGCAGCGTTTTCAGTTCCAACTTAGGAGCTTCTTCGATTAAGGTTTTGGGTGAAGTCCTTAACTCACGATCTAACGGCTCCACTCTATACTTGTGAGTTTCCACGAGAGCCAGATTCAAACATGTCTCTATCACTTGGGCCTCAGTATCTCCATCCACCTCATGGCCCACTAACACTCTTTCTAAGGGATCTTCGGGAACTACTAATTGCGATTCGACTATGTGATCTACCACTGTAATAGCAGACAACTCTTCATAGATAGAAGGTAATTTTATAGTGCGATAAACATCAAACACTTCAACCTTATCATGTGCCCTCATAGTTAATTGCCCAGCTGCTACATCAATTAATGACCTACCCATGACCAAAAACGGATGTCCCAAGATGAATGGAACTTCAGAATCAGGTTCAAAATCTAAGACCACAAAATCCATCGGGAAAATCAAGGAACCTACTTGAACTAACACATCTTCTACCACCACCTCTGGCCTAGCAATGGATCTATCAGCGAGTTGGAGAATGACAGTGGTTTGTTTTGGACTACCCAACCCACACTTTTTATACAACGACAAGGGCATCAGATTTAAACTAGCCCCCAAATCACACAACCCTCGAGCATGAACAAATTTCCCAATTTTAATATGCATAATAAAACTACCCAGATCTTTCAACTTTTTGGGTAGTCTATTTTGGATTCTGGAGCTATACTCTTGAGTAAGTGCTACAGTTTCATACTATGTGACCCTCCTCTTGTTAGCCACTATCTCCTTCACGTATTTAGCATACTTTGGGATGCTCTGTAAAATGTCAACGAAAGGCAGATTAATGTGAACTTATTTAAGGAAAGAGAGAAACTTACCGAAGCATTCATCCTCATTCTGCTTTATGAGCCTTTGTGAAAACGGAGGGGGTAGTTTCTTTTGAGGAACGCGTGTCTCAACATTGGAGCTCTTTACTACCTCTTCCACTTTCTTTTCCTTGGTACCTACCTCAGTATATCTCTTCTTTGGAGCTAGTTCCTCTAGTTGTATCCCACTTCTAGTACTTACCGCATTTAGATGCTTTGGTTTGGGTTCAGTATCACCTGGCTGCCCACCTTGGGGACGCAAGTTCAGAGAATTGGCTACTTGCACAACTTGTTTCTCTAAACTCATTTGTGGCATTTGGATGTTTCTGATGTTCTCATCCTACTTATCTATCCTAGCATTTGTTTTTGTCCCTATTTCAGCCATGAGCTTTTGGAGTAGCTCCTCATTAGTCATCCCCCCTTTTGGTGCGCTAGGATTTGCGCCTTGGTTAAGATTTTGGTATGGTTGCCCAGCCCCTTGTGAACGGTATTGGTTAGTCCCTTGCGCCTGATTTTGGTTTTGGTTCCCACCCCATGAGAAGTTTAGATGGCTCCTCAAACTAGGGTTGTAAGTGTTACCATAGTTATGCTGACCTCCACCCCTTTGCGCATTACCCACATAATTTATGGAATCTGGGTTTGCCTTACATTGTTCGGTTTCATGAGCTCCACTACCACATACCCTATACCAATTTGTTGCTTGTTGTACAACGTTTCTCGGTGCATGGTTTAAGTCCATTTGTTTGAAATGCATAGCTATATTGTGTTGCATTGCATCCAATTTGGCGTTTATGGTGGTAGCTTGATCTACATCTAAGATTCCCACGACCTTTTGGGTTGTAGTCCTAGGCATTTCCCTTTCATAACCTGGGTTCCCTTCTGAGAGCCTATTGATTAAGTCGAATAACTCTTCAAAGGTTTTTGCTAGAGCTTGTCCACCTGCTGCACTATTAAGAAGTACACATGCATTATAATCTAAACCCTCAAAGAAAGTGTGAGCAAGTACCTCATTAGTTTGCATATGGTGCAGCCAGGCATTCAACATTTGTTTAAAATGAGCCCATGTTTGGTACATATCCTCCCCCTGGTTTTGCTTAAAACATAATTTCTCACTCCTCAACCATGCGGTATTCTTGGATGGAAAGAATCGACTCAAGAACTTTTTTGCTAGATCATCCAAGGTAGTGATGGAGTTTGGTGGCTCAGAATCTAACCAGCGCTTGGCGGCTCCTAAAAATGAATATGGGAACAACGTCAGCCTCACATAGTCTGATGAGACTCCATTTGGGATGTATGTATCACTAATCTCTATAAAGTTCCTAAGGTGGATTTGGGGATCCTCGTGGGGGAGACCGGTGAATTGCCCATTAGAATGGATGAGTTGTACCATGCCCTATTTTAGGTCAAATCTACCCCCCCCGATGGAGGTTTCCTAATCCTAGATGCCACATTGGCTGTGAGTGGGACCGCCACATAACGGACTGGTCTTGCTGGTATGATAGGGGGTACCTCTTGGTTATTCAAGTTTTCTTGGTTGTTCACGTTGTCTTGGTTATTATTCTTATTATTTCCATGAAGACCTAACCCCAATTCTCCTTGGCATCCTAGATTGGCCATTTTCCTGCGTCGGCGTAGAACTCTTTTTGGTTCGTTGTCTGGTTCGACAAGTTCTCCTTTCCGAGCCAGACTTGAGAGTCAACTGCCTGCAATAAACAAGCTAAGATCAAGTAATTAACACTTGAATATTCTAATTGTAGACTTAAGAAGTTCGAATATAAATCAATCTCTAAGCCTCGGGCGGCGGCGCCAAAAACTTGTTGCTCCCAATATACACGCAAGTGTACGTGGTCGCGCAAGTAATATAGATTCTTAAAGAAACGATTTATCGTTCCCAAGGGACTTATGATGAACTTATATCTAACACTTAACTCTACAAATAAAATAAAAGTAAATGTTTTTAGAAATGGTGATGATTGTTAACTACTACTACTAATTATGCAATATATAAAAGTAACTAATTGTGAACGACTTTAAGATGATGTTTCAAGCAATTAAAAGACAATTCCAGAGATGCAGCATGCAATGAATCTCATGTATCATATTCTCGGCGTAGAACTATTTTCAGTTGTCAAGTTACTAGTTTACAGAGTTAATTGTATGAATCGGGTATTAAACCTCTAGTCGCCTACTCCAGTTAGATGTCTAACTGCATCGTTGAGCAGGGAAAAACAGGCCTAATTGGCGAGCATTTATATTTCATCCTATTTCGTAACCAAACAAGTTTTTCATCCGGGCGTCCCTCCTAAACACAAATCACCTCAACTTAATGGATCGATCGAGCTCTCTATATTCTCTTGTCTATCTAATCCCTCCTCTCTCGATTTTAATATTAGACAATAGATTTATCTTATGGTGATCAAGCACAAAATACTAAAACAAGAATATATACGTAACTTATAATGACAACCAAGAATTAATTCATAAACCTTAAATATTCAACATTCGATTCGTAGCTACAGCCCAGAACAACGGCGTTTAGCCACTCATACTATTAGAAAATCACAAAATACAATTGTTCATGTGATTTCCGAAAAGTAGAACAGTTAGAAGATCAAAATCTATTACAAAAGATGAATCTTACTCTTGCACAACAAAATAATGTCGAACCCCCACAAGATATCCCTAAGGGTCTATTTATAGATGTTAGGAAAATTAGAACTAATTTCTACTTCAACTAGGAGTCCTATTTAATTATGTTTTTGCTGGAAAAGTCAGAACAAGGGTGGTGCGCCGCACCAGCCATCTCCCCAAGAACATGCTGCTGAAATTCTAGTGTTGGCGCACCGCACCTAGCAGTGCGCCAGACAGGCGTATCTGAAATCCCAGCCTTGGCACGTCGTGCCTTGCAGTACGCCACTGAAGCTTCTTTGAAGTTCCACAAGTGGCTCGCCGCGCCAACTAGTGTGCCAGCCACTGGGGGGTTTTTGCCTTAGTCATTTTCTTGCGTGTCTTTGCTCCTTCTTTCTTCGTTCCAACTCCAATTCCCTCAAGAGTTCCTGAAACAACTAATCATGTATATTAGTGCACAATCATCACAAGTTACACAAAAATCAAGCTACTAACTAAAGATCATTTTTTAATTCAATCAAAACATGGGCAATTATCGACAACTTAGGCATATAAATACGCCTAAGATCACCCAACAAGAATGCAACTTCATCAAAAGCACATAAACATTTTCATAACATCATTTCATAAGACATACATGTAAATTACACGCAAATGCACATATTCATAAAGAATTCAATCTAGTTAATGCATTTTCTCAAAAATTAAGTTTCCATGAGTATATATGCATGCATGAGGAAACGTGAGAACAACTAATACACATAAAACAAAAAGGATGAACCATGACGAGCTAAATACCTCTAGCTAGAGTAAGGTCCGAGGGAAAGTGATGGGGTAAAGGGATATCATCTTAGCCTCAGCCTCCCAAGTAGCACTCTCAACCCTTTGATTCCTCCAAAAAACCTTTACGGATGCAACATCCTTATATCTCAACTTTTTCACTTGCCGGTCCAAAATCTCAAAACTTCTTCATAAGAAAGACCTTTTTTTATACCAAGACTCTCCAATGGTACAATAGATGCGGATCACCAACTCATTTCTTCAACAAACATACATGGAAAATTAGATGCACCGATGCTAAGTCATTAGGTGAATCAAGTTCATAAGCAACTTTTCCAATACGCCTCAAAATTTGATATGGGCCCACATAACGGGGACTAAGCTTCTCTTTCTTTCCAAACCTCATGATACCCTTCATTGGTGAAATTTTAAAGTAGACCCAATCATCTACCTCAAACTCAAGATCTCTTTTTCTAACATCGGCATAGGACTTTTGTCAACTTTGAGCTGATTTCAACCTTTCTCCAATAAGCCAAACTTTATCCATGGCCTCATGTACAAATTAGGGACCTATCAAAGTAACATCATCTACTTAAACCAAGCTATGAGAGATCTACACCTCCTACCATAAAGAGCCTCAAATGGAGTCATACCAATGCTTGAATGACAGTTATTATTATATGCAAACACAATCAAAGGCAAATGATTAGCCCGATTACCCTTAAGGTCAATCATACAAGTTCTCAACTATCTTCCAAAGTTTGGATAGTATACTCTGCTTGCCCATCAATTTGAGGATGAAAGGCCATTCTAAGCTAAACACGAGGACCAAGACCCTTTTGGAAAGATTTCCAAAATTGAGAAGTAAATTGGGTTCCACGATCGGACATAATGGATAGGGGCACTACATGCAACTTAACCATCTCCCTTATATACAACTTAGCATACTCCTCTGCCAAATAAGAAACTTTGACGGGAATGAAATGATCCGACTTCTTCATACGATCCACATTAACCCAAATCGAGTCATGTTGTCATCGGGTGCGGGGTAAAAAAATAATAAAGTCCATATTAAGGTCTTTCCACTTCCAAGTAGGAATATTAATGACTTGGGACAAACCTCCCAGTTTTTTATGCTCAACTTTCACTTGTTGACAATTAGGACCCTTAGCCATAAATTATGCAATATCCTTCTTTATTCCATTCCACCAATAAACCTCAAGTCACGGTAAATTTTGGTGGCTCCAGGGCGAATGGGATATCGAGAACTATAGGGTTCTGATTAGATTCTCTCTTTCAAGTCATCAACATTGGGAACACATAAACATTCTTGATATCAAAGCACACTATCTCCCCCTTGGGAGAAAACCTCAACGGACATCTTAAGCACCTCTTCCTCCAATTCAACCAAATTTAGATCAAAACCTTGCTTTGCTTTGACATCCGACACAAAGGACGATTCTAAACCATTATGAACAATCACACCACCTTTATTAGAATCAATCAACCGGACACCCAATGGGGCCTATATATGAACATCTTGAATCAAATCATTTTCATCATCATCAACATGAGCAACACTACCTATCGATAGTTAACTAAGAGTATCCCCGCCAACCACATTTGCCTTGCCGAGGTGATAGAGGACACTCATGTCATAATCCTTTAGCAACTCAAGCCACCTCATTTGGCGAACATTTAGATCTTTTTGCTTGTACACATATTGCTAACTTTTGTAGTCGATAAAGACATCAACATGAACACCATATAAGTAATGCCTAACACAACTACCGCTAATTCCAAATTGTAGGTAGAATAGTTCTTTTCAAGAATTTAAAGTTGTTGTGAACCATAAGCAATTACCTTCGCATTTCACATAAGAACACACCTTAGTCCAATCCTTGAACCATCACAATAAACAACAAACCTATTGGACTCTTCCGATAAAGTCAACACCGGAATGGAGGTAGGCTATCTTTCAACTCTTTGAAACTCTTCTCAAACACTTCTGACCATAAGAACTAAATTTTTTTTGGGTCAACGCTGTCAATGGAGAGGCAGTTGAAGAAAATCTTTCAACATACCTTTTATAATAATCAGCCGAACCCAAGAAGCTTTGAGGGCATAGAGGTCTAGGCCAACTCTTAACCACATCCATCTTCTTAGGATCTACCTCAATACCCTTTCCAGAAACAATATTACCCAAAAATCCACGAATCTCAACTAAAACTCACATTTACTAAACTTTGCAAAGAGTTGTTGGTCGTTGAAAACTTGCAACACAATCCTTAAATGATTGGTGTGCTCATCCTCCCTCCTTGAGTAAATAAATTTGTCATCAATAAACACAATCACAAACATGTCAAGAAATTGTTTAAACAATAAATTCATCAAATCCATATGTGTGGCAAGAGCACTATTCAAACAAAAATACATTACCAAAACCTCATAATGACCAAACTGTGTTTGAAAAGACATCTCTGCAATGTCATCTTACTTCACCTTCAACTAGTGATTACCCAACCGTAGGTCAATCTTTGAGAAGTAACATGCTCATTGGAGTTGATCAAGAAAATCATCAATCATTGGAAGAGGATACTTATTCTTAATGGTTACCTTGTTTAATTGTCGATAGTCAATACACATGCAAAGTGAACCATCTTTCTTTCAAACAAACTAAACTGGAGAACCACATGAAGAGATACTCAGTCAGATGAAACCCTTATCCAAGAAATCTTTTAATTGATCCTTTAATTTTTAAGTTCTGTCGGATCCATACAGTAAGGAGAAATAGAGATAAGATATGTATCTCGAGAAGGTCAATACTTAAGTTTATTTCCCTTTCGGGAAATACTTCCAGAAACTCATTAATAACGGGGACCGACTTAAAGATAGGGGTTTCAAAATCCATATCCCTAACCCAAACAAGATGATATATGCTACCTTTAGATATCATTTTTCTAGCTTTAAGACAACAAACAA